CTCCCCTCCCCTCCCCTCCCCTTTCCTCTCCTCTCCTGCTCCTCTCTTGGCTTCAACCTCTTTTTCCTCTCCTACCTGTAACCACAGATTTTTCCACCTGTGCCCCTGTTCCTGAAAAACACTTTGGGGGCTTAGTTATTTATGAATAAATTCCTACCCTGCAAGCTTTGGCTTGTTCCCCAATTAGCTCATATTTTATATTAACCAGTCTTCCACATGGCTAATGACCTCTCCTCAGTTTCAGATGTCTGACCTCCTTAGAGCCTAGGGAAAATCTCCTACCTCTGACTGTCTCTCAGAGTTTCAAACTCTTTACCAAAACGTAGATGTTTCAAAACCCACTTTTAATAAGGGTTTTGAAATACTTGACTCCCCTTCTAGACCACCATCCAAAGAAAGGGGAGAAAAGATGACAAATAGGACAAGGGAATGTGGACCTGTTCAGTGTTTAGAAGTACTTCTTTGGGATGATTCCAGTCTCCATTGTCAGGACACCAGCAGTCCAGCTCAGTAGTGTCAGGATACCAAATGTGAATCAGCAGCGGTGCCATGATCCAGCAGAAACTGCCAGGCCTCCACCAAATTGGTAGGAGCAACCAGAACCAGCCAGGGATGCCAGAAGTTCTCTGCCATGCTTCTCTCAACAAAGTGAAGATCAGCAAAGATGCAAGACCAATAAAGTGTTTCAAGGCTAGCAATGCAAGCACCCTGTCATGCCTTTTGAGTTTTATTCATACTCTCTCCAACATCACATGTCCTCCCATATAGGGTCTTGCCTTAGCAAAACACATGAGTCTGCATCACCTGACATGACCAGAAACTTCCACTTCTCGGAACTCCCACCTTCTACTACCTGCCTCAGCTCATTGGCCATCAGATTTTTATTGACAGGTGATGCATCCACACAGTGCACAAGCGATTATCTCTACACCCACCTCCCTTCAGGATTGTCCAGTCTTTCTGGGATTAGAGGAGTATGCAGTATGGGTTTTTTTTTTTTCGTCTTTTAACAGCCCTAAATCCCTCCACAGGGTGTTCTAAAGTCTAAACACATCACTCTGTAACCATCCCTTTCTTTTTCATCTCATATGGATTCAGGTGCAAAAAAAAAAAAAAAAAAAAAAAAGTGTCTTTGACAGTAGTCCCTAGTCCTCAGAGGTCAAGGAGTAACTGATTTTGATGAGAAGGAAATGAAAACCGAGATGAGCATTACTGTGAGGAAGACAATGGGCTTTTGCCCACTGTCTTACTGTAACCCCTGTGTGCCTCATAATCTCGCTTTGTGCCCTTAAACCCCTGAAGATGGAGCGCTGAGGCAGAAAAGATTCTGTTTTCCTCAGGGCCTGTCACCAGCAGCAGGAAATTGAACCTGATGCAGATGACCGGGTAGCCTGAAAATCATCCTCACAGAAGCAGGAGTGCTCATGTACTTGAGAGGCAGAGGGCCTCCTTCGTGACTCAGGGGCCTCTACTCGAAACAGAAGAGTCTCCCCAGACTCATTTGCAGGATGAGTGAGAGTGAAGCAGCCAGTGAGTTTACTGATGAAGCAGAAAGACAAGAGGCCCTTGAATGGAGTCAGGCGCCTGCATCAGGAGAGGGATGCCCATATGGGCCTCAGCAGTAGCTGTGTGTGGGCTGGGGGCCATGAGGATAATAAGCTGTAACTGAGTTTAGGTGTCAGGGAAAGTGTGTACTGCTGTAATCCCTGTCTTATCTACAGAACTTGAAGAGGAGACAGTTTGAAGGTGTTCTGTGCATGCTTGATACTGGAGCAGGGTATGCTTGTAGAGAGAAAACGTTCATCACTGGATCCTTACTAACACCTCGATCACAAGGAGGGTAGACTGAGGCTTATGTCATCATAACCCTGCTAGACAGTTGTGTTCAGGAAGCCCTCAGAAAGGCCTGCTCAGCTCCTTTTGCAGGTTATAGGGCTCATTACACAGAAGCTCCAGGGTATGAGCCAGAGAGATGGAAATTAGAAGAGGGGTGCTTCCCTTTCTCATGTTTCCGTTTCCTAAATAGCTGTCTTGACTTATGCCACCAGGAATAAATTTATTTCCTTCTGGTACTGTCTGTCTCCCTGGTTTTAAGGACAGCAGCCAGCAGCCAGCAACCCTGAACCTGGAATTCCAGTAACACAATCACTAAGCATTCTTTATAGAATCAACCTGCCTTCTCTTTGTCTCTACTCTTTTATTTTTAAGTTAAGCTGTGCCTCCAGGTCTCACATCACAGCACACATTTGTGTGCAAGATGCTAAAAATAACAGTCTGGATTGTAACCACCTCTGGGATCTTCCTTTATGTCAAATGTTTATAATTTAAAGAAGAAAGACATTTCAGAAATAAATATTTGCTTCATTTGCTCACTTCTGCCTAAATTCCTCACAGATTCATGGTTTGCTCACTCAAGGCTCGCTCACTTACTCTTGTGTGCATTGCACGAGTATTAGCCCAACTTGTGCTCAATGGTTACCCTCAACCACTTTCCTGTAGCAAAAAAGTTCCCGTTAGGTATTGCTATCTGGAAAAATCACAAGTGGTAGTCACCACTGTGAAAGAATATAGTTGGTGTTGTTTGTTTGCTTGTTTGTTTTGTTTATCATCTAATTAATTTTTTTGCATTTACCCAAAGTTTGATCTACAGTCTTCCCCAAAATATAATTACAATGAGAACAATCACTACTCTAATCAGCTGAAGAACAGTCGTATATGTTAAGCACGGTATTAAATCATTTACTCTCATGCAAGGAGTAAGTAGTATGTTATGAAAGATACCATGGGTGGCAGGAACAGTGGGATCTCTGTAAGCAAGGTGGACCTAGCCCTTGACCCTCCTCCTATACTAGAAAAATCTAAATTAAAAATTCACCTGTAGGTAAGTATGGGGAGCATAATGGCAATTCCAGCAGTCAAGAAGCTGATGCAGGAGGATTTCAAGTTTGAGGCTAGCTATATTACATAGTAAGTTTCAGGCTAGCTTGGGCTACATGATAAGATCCTCACAGCCTCAAAATTTTTATTTATAGATCACCAGATGAAGTTTTAAGATTATGGAACTCTCTCTCTCTCTCTCTCTCTCTCTCTCTCTCTCTCTCCCTCTCTCTCTCTCTCTCTAATATGCTTAAGGCATGGCAATTCCTCACTACTCATCAGTTTTGCATTCATGAAGTTTTATGCTTTGTAATATTTGTTCTAACGTAACCCCCAAATTTATAGTCATAGGGCATTAACGACCATTTAAAATGTCCAAGAAAATTTGAAGTGTAGGTTTACCTGGAAGTCCTTCATAGTAAATGTAAGCAAAGGCTGGAAGAAACTAGCATGTAT